AATATCTGAACTTGGGCCCTTGCTTCACGTACCCCGAATTTTGCTTTTATGTTCAAATATGCACCTCCTCCTGCGTTTAGGCCTGAATCCAATATATGGATTCAGGGCCCTACTTTTTACACCCCCTGAAGTTACTAACCAAACATAAAATATACCCCCTGACCTTTCAATTAAAATTTTATTTTATATCCTATATTTTATTATTTATTTTATAATTAACTCTTTTTGTATTTATTATATTTACATAAATTCCAAAATTATTTTATTATTAAATTCAAAATTCGATCTTTTTACTAATTTATTTTTAATTAATTTTAAATTGTATTAAAATTCTTTTTATCATGAATTAAAAACATATTTTCTAATATTCTTTAATATTTTAAAAAAATATCTAACCAATATCAAAAAATCAATTTTTCATTAATATAATTTAAAATTCAAGATTATTTTCAAAAAGGATTATGAAAATATTTTTAATCGACTGCGAACTTCGTCTAACAACTCAATCATTCACACAGTCAGACTTGGTTCAAGGAGAATTCAAATATATTTGTAATCCATAAAAAACACAAACCAACTACGAATTACGAATTGAGACTCTGATTCCTCATAAGAGGATACATAGGCATACGACTTAAAATCGTGGCGAGTTCCCCTAATAAATTAAAACCATATTTCCTAAAAACCATAAATCTAAACCCTAGTATCCTTGTGAACAATGTAGACGAGGGGTGCCTAACACCTTCCCTTCGTCTAAAACGAGTCATACAACTTAGAATCTCTGATCAAATTAGGGTTATCTTTTATATTCCCTCCCTAAAGATAAAAATTAAGGGTGACGACTTTCATTTTAAAACCAGTTATTACAGGAAGCAATTCCTAAAAGAGGTAATTGTGCAAGAAAGAAAAAAAGAAAATACAAATTAGAAATGAGAAAACTGGATTTCCATCGAGTTTCAATTCTGATATGACCCTTATGTCCTCAAATATCTCAATACTCTGCTTTTTGAAAAGAGTGATTGGACTGATTCCTACCCTTCGAGATTTCCAACTGTTATAGAGAGATCCACAAATTTTATGCAGACCGCAACCTCTCACTCTCAAATCCCTAAATTTTGCATGGACCGTCCTTTCGGGTTTTCAGTCCACCAGGATACCCTTTTTTTGCCTAAGTTTCCCTTTAGAGTTTTCAACTTAGTGGGTTATTCATTTCTTTTGATTTATTTTTTATTTTTTATCCCTAATTTTTTCCCAGGCCTTCTCTTTTTGTGGTCCTCCGGGATGTCCATTTTTTCCTAAGTCTCCCTTTCGGGTTTTAAACTTAGCGAGTCTATTTATTCATGTGAAGTATTTTTTTGATCGAGTCTACATTCACAGACAGTGAGAAATCTTCACCATCCATAGTTGTAAGCATCAACGCTCGTCCAGAGAAAACCTTCTTTACAACATATGGTCCATCATAATTCGGGGTCCGCTTGCCCCTGGGATTTGTGTGGATAGGCAGGATCTTTCTCAGCACCTGGTCACCAACTTGGAAGTATCAAGGACGAACCTTCTGGTAAAATGATTTCTTTATCCTTCTTTGATATAAGTGCTCATGGAAAATGGTTTACATTCTCTTTTCTTCGATGAGATTCAACTAATCAAACCTTGTTTGGACCCACTTAGCTTCATTAAGCTTCACATCTGTCATGACCCTCAAAGAGGGAATCTCTACTTCCACAGGTAGGACTTCTTCCATACAGTACACTAGAGAGAAAGGGATTGCCCCTGTTCAAGTACGCATTGAAGTATGGTAGCCATGCAAAGCAAAATGCAACATCTTGTGCCAATCATTATACGTTATCACCATCTTTTTCACAATCTTCTTTATGCTATTGTTAGTTGCCTCAACAACACCATTCATCTTTGGGCGATATGGAGAAAAGTTGTGATGTTGAATCTTGATGCTCTGGCATAACTCTTTCATCATCTTGTTATAGATATTCGACCCATTATCAGTAATGATTCTTTCAGGAACTCTATAACGACAAATGATTTCTTTTTTTATGAATCGGGCAACCACTTGTTTAGTGACATTGGCATACAAGGCGACTTCTACCCGCTATTATAAGCAAAAAAACACCAACTTTATTTTATTTAAAAAAAATTCTAAAAAAGATGTATCTTTTCCGAGATAAAACTAAATGTAAATTGCATTTAATTTATTTTCTCTCTCATTTTTTCCATAAACAACAACCAATCAAAATTGTTTTTACATCTCTCCCGTAAAACATACTTCAAAAAAGACACAATAATTTTAACTTTAACAGTCCCAGTTCCAATTACTGTATCGACGACCTTTCACCTAAATGAAGATTACACTTCAATGACAAACACTTAGTCTTGCTTAAAAGTTTCGACCAAGAACAATACTCAACTCATTATCTAAAGGCTTCTGAGTGAGAACAATAATAGAGACTACAACTCTATAACATCAGTCCAACTCACAACCGAGTGGAACACACAACCAACTTTCCTAGAGAGTGGTACAGACTCAACCCTAATAATAGATACTTTACATTTTCAGCTGGTACTTCTTTAAGTTACAAATGCTTCTATTTATAACCCTTTTTCTCAATTGGATTTGGGCCTCAAAAACGCATCAAGGAGACTGCACAAAGTCTGCAAGAACTTCTCCAAGAAAGTAGGTCTTCAATCAAAACTTTCCTAAAATGTCTCAATATTTAAAAATTTTAATATCTTGAATACCAACATAAAATCTCTGATTTATCAATCTTGGACGCCACATAAGATTACTAAATATTACCAAATTATTCAGAAACTAAATCACAACAATTGAATTCAAACTGACAGTTGTAACAGATCTGATGTCCTATACTTCTGGTTAGGACATCTCATTCAACATGTTCAAACAACAAATTAAAACATCTTTCAAACTACAAAATAGCAAAACATGTGATATTTATTATTTATTTTCACTAACTTACATTTACTTATTATATTTTAATTCATATAACTATTCTACAATCTATTGTTAATAAGGTTATTTTAATAAATGATTCTCGTTTTATCATTAAAATATATCAATACAATTAATTATTATTTTAAAAATTATGAAAATCTCAAAGAAGTCGAAGAGGAGCTTTATATGAGATAGAGGGAATAAGTCTTTTAGTTTAAATGTGTTTAATAGAGACATGCATGTTAAATAACAATGAAGAAGTGAGTATTTAGAGAGAAAAAATAGTCAATTTTTAAAATCATTTTAATAATCTTAAAAGCATTAAAATAAAGTAGTTCAATCTTTTTTATTTGTCATTCAAAATAAATGTTTCTTTTTTTCTCTTGTTAAATCTCATTAGTATTCTTTTTGACGAAATTTAATGAATGTAATAAATTGAAAAATATTCTTTCTGTCTCATAATAATTATTTTGTTATTTATTATTTCTTATGTAATCGTTTATAAGCAAGACATACTTATTTTTCTTGTAATAGATTATAACCTATAAAACATCAACTTAATTTTATTTAAGCATTTTTTTAAGAAAATGTATATTTTTTAAGGTAAAACTAAATGTAAATCACATTTAATTTATTTTATGTAATTTTTTTCATAAACAACAACCAATCAAAATTATTTTTACATCCCTCCCATAAAACATATTTCACAAAAGACACAAAATTTTAAACCTTTTAATAAGTGTAAAATATTACATTTTTTATATTTATAAATTAGTACGAAATTCCTTTTTATAAAAAAAATTTAATTTTTTAAATTTATTAAATAATTAATACATTTAATCTATATGTAATTCAAATACATCATTTACTCATTGAACTTAAAGATAAATATAATAATCATAATTGAGAGTGGAGGGAATAGTATCTGTTTAAAATATCAATGAAATGTTTATTAATTTTTTTCTATAATTTTTTTATCATTTTTATTATATTTCAACTCCCGTAATTATTTTACTTACTTTTATTAATAAAAAATTGTAAATAACATGTATATTTGAAATTGTTTTCAACACAAAAGAGTATATATAAAATAAAGAAAATAAAAATTATTATTTTTCCTTCTTAAATCTTATACTCAGTCAATCTCACAATATGTGTTCTCTTTCTTATTTTTATCTGTGTTAAATTATTTATGGTTATAAAATATCAATGTAATATTTATTATCTATTTTCACTAACTCACCCTTATTTATTATATTTTAATTCATATAGTTATTTTAAAATTTATTATTAATAAGATCATTTTAGTAAATGATTCTCATTTTATCTTTAAAATTGACACAATTAATTATTATTTTAAAAATTATGAAAATCGATGTCTAATATGTGACGGAGGGAATAATTATTTTTGTTTAAATGTGTTTAATAGATACATGGAATAACAATGAAGAAGTGAGTATTTAGAGAGAAAAAAAGTCAAGTTTTTAAAAAGATTTTAATAATCTTAAAAGTATTAAAATAAAGTCTATTTTTTTTATTTGTCATTAAAAATAAATCCAACTTTTTGTCTCTTATTAAATCTCATAAATATTTTCTTGAAGAATGTTAATGAATGGACAAAATAATAAAAATTATAATATTTTAATAAGAAATGAACAAAATAATATTATAATATTTTTTTGAAGAATGTTAATAAATGCACAAAATAATAATATTATAATAATAAATGTACAAAATGATTATATTATAAATATTATTATAATAAATGCACAAAATAATAGTATTATAATATTTTTTTTGAAGAATGTTAATGAATGCACAAAATAATAAATCCATCTTCTAGAGTGTTTAATGCATATTGCTTGACCAACAATAAAAATAATAAAAATTATAATATTGTTATTTTTTTATTTTTAATATTATTTTTTATTATCTTCTAATTTGTAGTATATATAAGTGAGTATACATACTTGTACAAGTATTATATAAGTATTACATAAGTATTACATATTAGTGAAGTAACTTTGAAAATTTGATGGATCTAATTGTGTTTCTTGCTCTTACTTTGTGCATAACATGTTGCAATGTTGAGGCTAGAAACAAGACTTTAATAAATGGAGAAACTAATGTCACTCTATTTGGTAGTCCCATGGTATGTGATCTATTATAACCTCTTATTTTATTGTATAAATAATTTACTTGATTATTATTTTAGTTTAACAGATGCAGCGTCAAGTGAAGAATGATTTTATTTGTGTGGATATCTACAAGCAACCTACTCTACAACACCCTTCACTAAAAAATCACAAAGTTCAGGTATAATAATTGTCTTAAGATTAAGGAAAATGCTAATAAGTGTTTCCGAATATTCTTTAACAACTTAAATTTTTTTTTTAATATTTGTATTTAATGTATTGAAAATAAAAATAATAGAGTTTTCTAAATAATAAAAAAAATATGTTTTATGAAAATATTTATATTCAATGCATTTAAAATTGAAATAATTAATATTTTTATAAATATGTTTCCTTATTTAAAATCCTTAAAAATTGTTTCTGCAGCACTCGTTATAATGATTCATGTGAAATTTATTTGAACATATGATATTCATTCACGATTAATGAACATTATCTTATTTTCTATTCATTGCAATTTATGTAGCTTTACCCAACCTTTGCAAAGAATGATATGCAAAGGAGACCATCTTTTGGTAAGACTATGGATGTATGCTCACCGGGAAAAGTGCCTATTTACAACAAGACACCAATTATTACAAATTCATCTTCAAGGTTACAAACAGATCATTTTAAGCAATATTCTAAAAATTCTCATGGCTACCATGTAAGTGATGATTTTAAATCAATACCAATACTTTGATTATATATATATATATATTTAATGTGTGTTTCATACTTATAATGTGTGTTTTATATTGTTTAGACAGTAACTCTTGATACAACTCAAAACATGATATTTCGTGGAGCATCGGCGGGTATAGGTGGATATAATCTATCGCTTCAAGCAAATCAATTCAGTTTATCTTCTATATGGCTAGAAAGTGGACCCTCAGTAGAACTTAATAGTATAAAAGCCGGAATCGGAGTAAGTTATCTTAAAATATACTATGAGATTACATTTTATTGGTAAGTGTGTTTGAGAAAGATATACTACCCACATTCAATTTTGTATGTTTAAGGTTCATCCAAATTTATATGGAGACAGCCAAGTACGATTGACGGGTCAGTGGACGGTAAGAATGTACATTAAATAGTTTTAAGAACATAATATGATAAAAACAGATAATTTGATTATGTCAAACTTCCTTTGATATAAACATGCAGGCAGATGGTTTCAAAAAAACAGGATGTTACAATATTCTGTGCTCGGGTTTTGTGCAAGTTAATCGTGACAAAGAGTATGCTCTTGGAACTGTCCTTCATCCGGCTGGTTCAATTGGATCAATAAAAAAATCAATTGGTCTTATCAAAATTAAACAGGTAAAAAATTATTATGAATGTATTAAAAATAATTTAAATATATATATTTTACAAATCATTACTCCAAGATTATCAACTTTTGAAAATAATATTTTATTTAAGATATATAGTCAATAATTAAATTTCAATATTTATTTTGATTTTGAGAATATTGATAAAAAAAATTAATAAAACATTATTCTCTGAATTAAATAGTATTATTATGATTGATTAATAAGATTTTTTTAGTAACAGGATCAATCTACTGGTCATTGGTGGTTAATTATTCAAAAAGAATTAATATATACAGGATATTGGCCAAGAGAATTATTCACTCATTTACAAAAAGGAGCATCTCTAATAAAATTTGGAGGTCAAACATATGCCCCGCCTAATAAGGATAGTCCTCCAATGGGTAGTGGGAGACTACCTAAAGAAAATTTCAAAAACTCGGGATTCATGGGATTACTAGAGATTATTGATTCAGAATATAATGAACATGACATTAAACCCGAAAATATGAAGATTTATACAAATAGCAAATCAGAGTGTTATGACTTGAAATATCATGGTTATGAAGGACCTTTTTATCGACAATCTTTTCTTTATGGTGGGCCAGGCGGACAAAATTGTGATATATGAATATGTCAATAATTTTAATTAATAAAACTATTATTCATCATTAATAGATGTTGTGTTATAAATTTACAATAATAATATATAATATCAAAATCATGATTTTTATTATATCTTCATGATAATGTTATGATCATGATATGTGGAAGTAGAAAAATGTTACTAAGTACTAAATTTTAATTAGCTTTAATATTTTCATTTAATTTAAACACAAATATTTTGGCATTGATTAAAATTTGGTATTTTAAATTGTATGACAAGTCAGCTATAAATTGTTGTGTTTTTTAATGTAAAATTGTGTCTTGTTTAGATAAATTTTACAAATTTAATACTCTCTCAGGTCTAATGTATAAGAGATAATTTGTTTTTAGATACATTGAAAAATTAATGTATTTGATCCATACATAGTCTATATATATTGATTATTCAATGTATCTAAAAAGAAAATTTTCTCTTATAAATATGATCGGAGGTAGTAGTTATTTTGCAAACTAAAAACTCTATTTACAAACTAAATACATAAATCTTTTTAAAGTTCAATTGTTTGTTATTTTAATAAAATTGTCAAAAGTATTTTTTTAGAGGTAATTCATTCATGAGATTAAGAGAACACAGACAATACAAATCTTATGACACACTTGAAATGGTACATACCCCATTTATAGTTTAGAGTCAAATTTAAACAAAAACCTATATAATCATAAAAGACGTTACACACCGAATGTTCACAGGCTAATAGGACATGAACAAATCAGAAGAAGAAGTTGTAACACCCTAAATCTCCGGAACTTATATATAAAGGATTACTACCGATGAAAATCCTTTAACAAAACATAAATAGTTAAAAAATATGCAGCGGAAAAATAAATCACATACAACACCTGTCATTAGACGCTCGCCATATCTTAGGCTCATTGCAAAGAAATAATATGAACTTCATTAATAAAGTGTAACACCTTCAATTTTGGTCTTATAAAGAGTTAACTTTCATAAAATGATTCAAATGGAGTTGTAACATCAACTCATAGCAACTTCAAAAAAATTCAACATAAACAATATTGTACTTCAACAATAAAAAGTAATCAACTTCAAACATAATAAAACGCCCCATCTCGATGTTCAAAATTAGAGCATTAGACCACTGAGAAATCAATAAACAAGTGGAAATAACTCCAAGAGCTATCTTCTACTTACAACAACAACTTTTATAATCAGGATTCATGGATTACTAGAGAATATTAATTCAGAATATAACGAACATGACATTAAACCCGAAAATATGAAGCATTATATGCATAGTAATTAAAATTGTTGTGACTTGGGATATTATGCTTATGAAGGATATCTATATCGATAAGCTTTTCTTTATGGTGAGCCAGACAGACAACATTACGATATATGAATATATCAACAACTTTAATTAATAAAACTGTAATTCATCCTTAATAGTAGTTGTGATATAAATTAACAATAAGAATATATAATACCAAAATCATGATTTTTATTATATCTTCATAATACTAATATTATGATTATGATATGTCAAAGTAGAAAAATGTTATTTAGTATTGAATCTTAATTAGCTTTAATACTTTCATTTAATTTAAATACAAAATTTTTGGCATTGTTGAAGGATTGGTACTTTAAATTGTATGACAAGTCAGGCATAAATTATTGTCGTGTTTTTTAATGTAAAATTGTGTCTTGTTTAGATAGATTTCTTCGACCGTCTCCAACGTAATCTCTTCTGTTCTTTCTTTTTGTTCTGTCCTCCGTATCTCGAAGCCCCCAGTTTCTGTTCTTCTTTCTGTAACCCCTCTCCCCTTTCTGTATTATCAATTCCCCCTCCTCTCCTTTTTCTGTTAGTTAGTATATATAGTTTTCTGTAATTAGGGTTTTGTTGTTACAACGTAGATTTAGGGATTGAGACAAAAGTTAGGGATTTTAGATAATTAGGGATTGTTTGTAATTTATTTTTGGATTATGTAATTGATATAATATTGATTAAAATTATTGTATTTGATTTTGTTTAGTAACATATTCGTAATATTGTAATCTGGAGATTTAGATTTTGTATAGTTTTTGAGATTTGTTTTTGTAATAAGAGATCTTAGATTTGATTTTGGGTAAAGATTGATTCTGTAATATTCTGGATTTGGACTATAAATTGATTTGATATTGTTTTAGGATCTGCACAGTAGTTATTCCAACATGATTTTAGGATGATTGAAATAGTTGTTGTTTCTACACTGGGCCTGCGCTCTAATTTTGATTACTTAGCCCAACAACACTTAATTATTTTATTACAGCAAAAACTTTGTTATAAAACCAGGCCCAAGTGCCTTCTCCATAGCCCAAAATTGCCTCAGCCAAACTTTTGATAACTATAATTAACAACATGTTATTTACTAATAAAAGTTCAATAAACAAATAACGGCAACGACACTATCCTCTTTATATATAAAAATAATAAACAACAATCTTCAATAATAAATTAAAAGAATTTTATCAATAGCACAAAACATGTTACGGTTTTTTCATAAAAACATATTATTTATTTTCTTATTTAAAATAATAACAATAACAGTTTTCTTTTCTTTAATAATAAGACTTATTTTTTTCAAAAATAACAAATGGGTCATAAAGAATTTAATGGTCTTGTAAATTGCACACCCCCTTTCGCTGTTTGCTTATTTAAAAGAAATGGGCTAAATTGATTCTCAATATATATGCATCCTCACCTCTTCTTTTATTAATAACAACAAATAAAATGGGCTTAATTAATTAAAAACTTAATTTCTCCTAAATCAAAACAACAAATGGACTGCTGAAAACACAACCGGCCTATTATTCGTAATTGCACCTCCTTTTCTTTTTACTAACAATACTAACACCTGAATGGCTTGTGTAATTAAACTTAATAATTAATCGAAATAATCTTCCATTTTTTAATCGCATGGGCCCTTGGCCAACATGCCATGCGAATGAGTTTACGGAAACATGAGTCTTTCTGATTTAGAAAGCCCCACTTTCCTGAATTTAAGGTACACCCCCCTTGTCGGATAAAGATGGACCATCAGATACTGCTGTACCATCTTTAATTGAATATTTCTTCGATTTTAATCTCGAAAAAATAAGATCATCGAGGTAGGACAAATTTGGGGTACGATCGTTTCCCCTATTTAATTATCTTCCAGTCGAATAGCGTGAGAAAACTCGAGTCTTGCGCATTCTGATTGAAAGTTTATTGAATACTTGAAGTATCCCAAAATTTGTCCGACAAACATAAGGTTACACTAATATAGCATACCCTTACAAGTCTCAAGGAAGTAGGCAAAGCTGAAGATGTATCGCTTACCAGGGTTTGATAACAAGGCATATGTGTTTAAGAGCGTAATTTTGTATGTCTTGGTTTGGTTTTAGCTTATTCATCCATTTAGAGGATGAATACAATGATAATTGATGATGCATGGATGCTTGAAGACTGAGGCCATGGGTTATGTTCGCGAATCGCTGCATGAAGTCTGAGGCGATTTGCTAGATTTTTTTGTTTTTCGAGCATCGCTGCGTGAAGTCTGAGGCGATGATCAGTGTCGTGAAATACAGAAATACATTGTTGTATGAAGTCTTAGGCAGTGAGCTTAAATTTGTAAATCACTGCGTAAAGTCTTAGGCGATAGACTAAATTTGTATTCTTGAGCATCGTTGCATGAAGTATGAGGCGATGGTATGCGACTTGGAATAAAGAAACAACATTGTTGCATGAAGTCTGAGGCATGGTTTAGGCTCGCAAATCGCTGCGTGAAGTCTGAGACGATAAGCTAGATTTTGTGGAATAAAGAAACACATTGCTGCATGAAGACTGAGGCAATGGGCTAAATTTTATGGGATAGAGAAACACATTGCTGCATGAAGTCCGAGGCTATGGGTTAGGTTTGCAAATCGCTGCGTGAAGTCTGAGGCGATAAGCTTTTGGTTTTCGGACATCGCTGCCTGAAGCCTGAGGCGATGGTCTGTGTTGGAATAAAGAAACACATTGTTGCATGAAGTCTGAATCAATGGGTTAGGTTTTGGTTTTCGAGCATCGCTGCATGAAGTCTGAGACGATGGCCAGGAGTGTGAGATAAAGAAACGACATTGCTGCATGAAGTCTGAGGCAATGTGTTAGGTTTTCAAATCGCTGCATGAAGTCCGAGGTGATAGGTTGGGTTTTGTATTTTTCGAGCATCGTTGCATGAAGTCTGGGGTGATGATCTGTGTTGCAGAATAAAGAAATGCATTGTTGCATGCAGTCTGAGGCAATGGATTAGGTTCGCCAATTGCTGTGTGAACTGAGGCGATAAGCTAGATTTTGGTTTCGAGCATCGCTGCCTGAAGTCTGAGGCGATGATCTGTGTTGTGGCATAAAGAAACACATTGCTGCATGAAGTTTAAGGCAATGGGTTTGGTTCACAAATCACTGCGTGAAGTCTGAGGCGGTAATCTAAATTTGTTTTCGAGCATCGCTGCATGAAGTCTTAGGCGATAGGCTGGATTTTATTTTCGAGCATCGCTGCATGAAGCCTGAGGCGATGATCTGTGTTATGGAATAAAGAAAACACATTGCTACGTGAAGTTTGAGGCAATGGGTTTGGTTCACAAATCGCTGCATGAAGTCTGAGGCGATAAGCTAAACTTTCATTTTCGAACATCGCTGCATGAAGTCTGAGGTGATGGTCTAGGTCGTGGAATAAGGAACACATTGCTGCATGAAGTTTGAGGCAACGGGTTAGGTTTGCAAATCGCTGCGTGAAGTCTGAGGCGATAAGATAGATTTGATTTTCGAACATCACTGCATGAAGTCTAGGGCGATGGTCTGGAGCTTTGAGAATACATTGCGGCTTAGAGGCAACGTAGTGAGTTTTGCAAACACATTGCGATTTAGAGGAAATGTAATAAGTTTTGCGAATACATTGCGGCTTAGAGGAAATGTAATGAGTTTTACGAATACATAAATCGAAACTGAG